CTGGGATTGGAACCCCAGGCCTTATGCTTGCATAGTGCCTCCATCACATCCTTCGTGTCTCCTGGCTGGGGGACCCCAGTAGCTGGGCCGGGGGGAGGAGATGGGATGCCAAGGAAAGTCAGTTTGCACATCTGTAAAATGGGCACAACATACTGTCCTCAGGCTTGTGTGGTGAGGTGGGGCAGTTGGGTGAATCAGTACCGGTCCGGGCGTGGGGGCGAGCCCAGCAGGAAGTGCTCGTCAGTGTCCGCAGCCTTCCCTCCGCCCTCCGGGTCTGCGCCAGGGCCTGGGTCAGCAGGGTCAGGAAAAGGGAGGCCCAGTGGGTAGACACAGCCTCTGCCCTGGGGGAGCCTCCTTCTCCAGGGGGTGCCGTGACTCTTTGGGGGAGCCCTGCCCCAGGTCAGGGCCTTGACCTCTTTTTCTCCACAGCACTGTCTGCTGGGCTGGGACGTTCTCCCTCCAAAACCCGAGGAAAGCTCCGGCCCCCGGAGCCTGGACCTCTGGTCCTGTGTCACCTCCGAGGCCCAGCACCAGCCGCTGTCGGCCGGCCCTTCCCACCTGGTATGGTCTGGGGCCCCCTGGGAGGGGCAGGTGCCTGGAGCGGGCCTGGGGACTGCAGAGTCCTGGGGGTGGTATTGGGTGTCCGACTCTAAGATCCCGAAGGGGATGAGGCTGGAACTGGGGTGACCTGCCGCCACAGTGGCCCCCTCTGACACCACCTTATTCACCATCCAGGCCCAGTCAGTGCGGGTCCCGTCCCCCACCCCGATCTGGTCAGAACCCCAGGCGCCCCAGCCCCGCCCGCGCACCCTGGTGGACGACCTGAGGACTGGCCACTTGGAGGACAGTGCTCCTGCCGTCGCCTCCAGCCTCTTCCCTCTGGCAGGGGTGCCCGTGAGAGGGGAGCCCTGCCCGGCCTCAGCTAGAGGTGGACTCAGGCCCCACCCTCCTAGGTGGGGCCGGTGGGTAGGCCCAGGCCTGTCTCCTTCCTGGGCTCAGAAGGGGTGACGGGTGGGAGGTCAGGGCATTCTGTCAGCCGTGTTTGGAAATAAAGCTCAGTGCTGTCTGCCCCTCCGGATTCCCACGTGTGTCAGGTCTGTCCTGCTGATGCCCTCAGTGCCCAGGCGGTGCCCTGGCCTCCGCCAGCCTCCCTCACCTGGGAGACACTCTGACAGTCTGTGCTAAGTGGGTGGGTCCAGTGCCTCGTGCAGCTCCCAGCTCTGGGTAGAGGCCTTCCAGGTGGGTGAGGACTCCCAAGACAGGCTGAGGTCAAGGTCAGTGTTGAAAACCATCTCCGCAAGGGGCTGGGGGTCTCAGGCTGTCCCTGTAGAGCAGCGGTTCTCAACCTGTGGGTTGAGACCCCTTTGGGGGTCGAACGACCCTTTCACAGGGGCCGCCTAAGACCATCAGAAAACACATATATAATTACATATTGTTTTTGTGATTAATCACTATGCTTTAATTATGTTCAATTTGTAACAATGAAATTGGGGGTCACTACAACATGAGGAACTGTATTTAAGGGTCGCAGCATTAGGAAGGTTGAGAACCACTGCTGTAGAGGAAGCTGAAGTTGTGAGAGGGGAGTGAGTGAGCTCACTCCTTCTTGGTTCCTGACACTGAGTCCATTCATAGAGGGGCTCCTCCTCCTCTCAAGTCCAGCCCTGGAAGCCATGGGTGACCCCGAGAGATCAGATGGGGGAACTGAGGGCCAGGCGGGGAGGTTGGCAGAGCACAGATCTCCCTCCTGGATTAGTAAGCAGCACCTGTCTCCTTCCCTTGGTCGAACAATATGAAGTTCCTGTTTTTCTCGATAGAAATGGGGAACCGAAGCCCGGAGAAAGCATGTGCTTTTTCTGAGGTTTCTCAGCATAGAGTGTGGATCTAGGGCTGCGGTCTCCGTGGTAACCCTCTCTTCCCATCATGCACCATGTATGTGTGAGAATAAGCAAGGTTATGTTGCAGTAACAAACGAACCCCCAGATCCCAGGGGTTCAACAAAAAGGCTTATATCTCTTGCTGACTTGCTCGCATGACCTTTTCGTCATGGGACATTTGGGGCCTGTGGTTTTAACATTGTCTCTTGGGGACCCAGGACAGTGAAGGCTCCACCCTGGGGGACATCGCCTGTTGCTTCAGCCCAGTAACCCCACAACACACAGGCCACTTCTGCTTATGGTTTATTGTCCAGAGCTGGCCACTTGGGCCCCAGCTGACAGCATGGGTTTGGGATGTGGAGGGGACTCGTGGGACAGCGTTACTGTCCTCCGTGTCCTGTTACCTGACTCCCCCCAGCTCGGTCCATGCAGAGCCCCAGGCCCGGGCAGCAGAGGCCACTGGCAAAGTAACAGGCGTTGCAGATTCTCTTCCTTCACTCGGGTCCAACCTCAAGTGCCTTCAGGAGCCAGTCGGGCAGGTGAGGTGATGGAGTCCGGGCCTTCGGCCACCTGGAGAGCACGGGTTCCTTCCGGAGGCTGTCAGGTTCAAACGCCTACGTGATCCAAACTGCGTGTCTGTGGCAGGTCTCACAGCAGGTCCTGGTTTGCCGCTTGATTCTGGGACCTGAAGAAACAAAGTCTCTGCCACATGTAATTTTGTATTTGTTAAAATTTTGTTTATTTTTTAAATTTTATTTATTTGTTTTTTTTAGAGAGAGGGGAAGGGAGAGGGATAGAGAAGACAGAAACATGTCCTGATCGGGAATCGAACCAGCGACCTCCTGGGCTGTCGCTCAACCACTGAGTCACACCAGCTGGTCCCACATGTAATTTTTTAAAATTAATTTTTAATTGTGTCAAACCTACAACAAACTTTATATCATTTTTATACATACAGTTTGGTGGCACATTGTTGTACAATCATCGCTACCAACCATCCCCAGAATTACTTTCGTCTTGCAAAACTGCCCACTCCTCCCAGCCCCTGGCAGCCACCATACTACTTTCTGCCTAGGAATCTGACTCCTCTAGGGACCTCCGATAGTGGAATCCTGCAGTGCAGCGGTTCTCAACCTGTGGGTCGCCTAAGACCATCCTGCATATCAGATATTTACATTACGATTCATAACAGTAGCAAGATTACAGTTACAAAGTAGCAACGAAAATAATTTTATAATTGGGGGTGACCACAACATGAGGAACTGTATTAAAGGGTCGCGGCATTAGGAAGGTTGAGAACCACTGCTACAGTGTGTGTCTTCTCAGTGACTGCCTCACCTCCTTTAGCCTGATGCCCTCAAGGTTCACTTATGGTGTAACCTGTCAATTTCCTTTCTTTTTAAGGCTGAGTAGTACTTCACTGGATGGATGGACCGCATTTTGTTCATCCACAGTGGGCACGTGGGTTGCTTCCACCTCCTGGTTGTGAATATGCCGCTCTGAACCTGGGTGGACACACATCTGTTTGAGCCGCTGCTTTCCGTTCTTGGTTACACAGCCGGAAGTGCAATTGCTGGGTCACATGGTTCATCTGTTGAGAAACCACTGTTCAGTAAGTCCGCACTTTAGATAGGTTCTACGACTTTAAACAACGCAAGCATAATGAAACCCATTGTACCATAGGCTAACTGATACAAACGAGATAAGTTCCTACGGCATCAGTGTTAGGAATGAAACGACGTTATTGGGGGACCTGCTGTCCTGTGTAGCAGCCGCACCGTTTGACATCTCGGCCAGCAATGCCAGAGGGTTGCAGTGTCTGCATGTGCTCAGAGCACTCACTTTTGACCGCCATCCTGGCGGGTGCGCGTGGTGTCTCATTGCAGTTTGGGTTTGCATTTCCCTGGTGATTGTGATGTTGAGCATCTTTTCATGAGCGTATCAGCCATTCCTGTGTCTTCTTTGGAGAGATGTCTAGTCAAGTCCTGTGCCCATTTTAAAAAAAAATATTTTTATTGATTTCAGAGAGGAAGGGAGAGGGAGAGAGAGATAGAAACATAAATGATGAGAGAATCATTGATCGGCTGCCTCCTGCACACCCCACGCTGGGAATCAAGCCCGAAACCCGGGTAGGTGCCCTGACTGGGAATCGAACCGTGACCTCCTGGTTCGTAGGTTGACGCTCCACCAGCAGTGCATGAGCCCTGAATCAGTAACCAAAAGACCAGAGTTCTTAGCTCAAGACCTTGTGCACCCATTAATCCTGAGATGCCGGTCCTTTCACGTTTGAACAGCTGCAATCAGCGCTCCCTCCCAGCCAGCGTGTCAGAGTTCCCAGCATTTCTCCTGGCGCCACACAAAGTCAGTCCGAGTCTCTTCAAGCGGCGTCACCGGTTTGGTGAAACAGTCTGGAGACCCGGGCTGTGGCCTCCTGCATGGAGCTGACTAAAAGCAGGACAGCCAGAACCTGCCTGCGCTCTCAGAACTCCCTCCCCCTCCTCCACCTCCTGCAGCTCCTACTTGCCTTCCACATCTCAGCCAGTGTCTTCTTTCCTCAGGCTTCCCCGGGAGCCCAGATCTGCCCCACCCATCGCACACTACACACACACACACACACACACACACACACACACACACGCTTCTCATCTCAGCCTCACAAGTTAGTCAGTTCTCATGCAAGCTCATCGCTTAGAGCAGGGGTGGGCAACCTTTTTGTGAGTGCGTGCCAAAACCAGCAAAATCTCTGACTCAAAATTCTTCTGCGTGCCAACCCTAATTTTTTTTTTAAATATATTTTATTGATTTTTTACAGAGAGGAAGGGAGAGAGATAGAGAGTCAGAAACATCGATGAGAGAGAAACATCCATCAGCTGCCTCCTGCACATCTCCCACTGGGGATGTGCCCGCAACCCAGGTACATGCCCCTGACCGGAATCGAACCTGAGACCCTTCGGTCCGCAGGCCGACGCTCTATCCACTGAGCCAAACCGGTTTCGGCCAACCCTAATTTTTTGAGAACATGTTACGCCTACTTGATATCTCTTAAGGTGTATGTATGTGAAGAACCTTGAAGAAATAATAAAATTCATTCGAGCGACAAAAACACAGTATATGATGATGAAAAATACATATATTTTTTAATGTATACATGTACACTGATAGTCTGACAGAAAACTTTATGACTCCATTTGATATTATCAGTGGGACTTTTGCTGCTGCATCACTGATGACAGATTTTACATCAGGTTTATATTTCATGACCTTCAGAGATATGCACGAGCTACTGCTTTCATCCGTCAGGCTACTCCTATTATGAGACTTAACAAAATTCATCACTGAGAACAAAGATTCACAAGCCTATGTGGATGAAACCAAAACACTGGTCAGATCTAGGAAGGCAGGGAGAGTTAAGGCAGAGGCATAGAAATTGCTCTTCCCCTCTCTCGTCAATCCATGTCTATGGTCTTTAAGATAACTTGTTATGTAAAATTGTTTATTTATCTAAGATGCACCTACACTGGATTTATCTAAAAAATAAAAAAGTCGATATTAAGAAAAAAATTGTAAATGGAAGATTATAAGAGAGGGTTTCGCGTGCCAGCAAAAGTTAATGGCGTGCCATGTTTGGCACGCGTGCCAGGGGTTGCCCACCCCTGGCTTAGGGTCTCTCCTGCTAGAATTTAAGTTCCATGACAGCAGAGATGGTATTCTTTTCAGATTATTTTTTTCCTGTTTCCTTTAAAGTGGTGGCTAAACTATTTCAGGATTTGGCTTTCTCCCCAGCCTGGTTTCCCACCTGCGACATAAAGGCGATGGGAAGGATGCTTTAATTTCTCCGAACTGCAGGAGCCTTGTGGTTGGGCACACACCCTCATACACCTGACATGCTTCCCCCTCCTCCAAATCAATCGTGTTCTTCCCTCTTTGTCCTCTATAAATATGAAGCATAAATCCCAAAGGAAAAAAGCAAGATCACCTACTTCCTCCAAAATGGATGTCTCATGTTCATCATTTAGAAATAAGAATGCAGGGTCTGGTTCTCCGTCATCTGTATGGCAGCATAGAAATAGGACCCACACGGGTCATTCATTCATTTATTCACTCACTCATTCACTCACCATGTATGCACCCAGCTCCTACGTGTGCCAGGCGCTGTTTTAGGCCCTGCCCCGTGGAGCCCCCACGCTGGTGCTGGGACACG